TGGAGACGTTGATGATGTGGATTTGCTAGCGGGTATAATGAGTAAAAACTTTATTACATTGGTAAAACCTACTTTATTTTGCATCATGACTCGTCAAATGAATGTGTTCAGGTTTGGAGATCGATTCTGGTTTGAAAGAGGAGATCATTTACATAGTTTTTCTTTGCGTAAGATAATACGTTAGACTACACTTACATTGTAATATGAAGTAAGCGGTGCCATAAGTTATCCAGCACGAGTTCGAACCCCGACGGCACAATCGAAATTTTTGATTGTATTTTAGGTTCTACTATTTTAATTAAAGAAAAAATGTCAGTAAAATCACTTCGTCTAAGCCAAAAGTAAAATACAAAGACTAACTAAAAATAAAACATAACTATAATGGCATTTGCAAATACATTTCTTTTATATATATCAAGTCTGCATTGAGGCAGATATAGCTTAAATTTATTTCTTGGCATGGACCTTCTACTGCTAAGCTTGAGTTAATGATGAAATATTTTGTATGATTTTTAACAAAAACACGAAGTTCCCGATACAATCTAGAGTCAGTATGTGAAAATTGTGAAATAAAGGTTTGCAACTATCTAAAGACCAAGCTCCACAAATGGCCCTTACACACTTCGAAGAATTCTTCGATACGAGATGTTGCATTCTTTTATGTCGTTTTGAATAGAATTGAAGTTAGCAAACCAAGATACTTCATGTAAGAACATAAGAACATTAATGTTAAATTATGTTAATTGTTAACCCCTTTCTTAATTAATTTCTTGTATTCTATCAGTACATCTACACTACTAAGTTTTTAAAATATTGTACGGATCCCTCGGTGTTGCAATCATCACTTGATCAGTTTTCATAATGACATAACAACTTATAAGAATTCACATACGGCCCTGGTAGTTTAGCGGCTAAGCTCTTGCTGTAAATTTAACATTATGCAAGCTACCCGGGTTCAATCCCTACCGGCACCAATAAAATTTTTAATTGCAATTTCAAGAAATTGTTAATTGCTGATTTGCCACGTACAAGGCAGTGAAGGAAAACATCGTGATTAAACCTGCGTTTCTGAGAAATTAAAAATAAACATTGAACACATGTGAGGTTGGTTAACACGTGTAAGGGCAGTGCTGTTTACATTTTCTTGCCAGAAAACCCTCTCAAAAATTAGATTAGACCTGTGCCCTACAGTGGTACGTATAGGCTGTAACTTTGACCTTTATCTTTAACAATGTACATATCTATACTTTTATTAATTTAATCGGAACACTGTGGTATTTTTAACATCAATGGTTCTAAAATACACCTTTGAAGTCAAATAAATGAATATAGTCGTCGTTATAATTATATTTCCATACGAGAACGCACGGACATTTCATATTTTCGCGAGAAAATCCAAAGATATATTAAATACACTCACGCTCAGGAAAAGTAGGAGCTTGGTCGTAGATGCTCAGAGAGGGATTATTCATCACCAGGGGTGCTGCTACCCTCCTGGGGTAGTTTTTTATATGGTTTCGCATCCACGTTAAAGGATTGGGCCTCCGGCCACCTGCACTTACCAAACAAAACTTAAAGGTAGACCTCTACAACACGCTGGTATTCTGTAAGATCATGGTACAACACCGTTTTGAGACGGGCTATCCTTGCGACGGTAAAGCTGCCACGTGATTCTATTACCAAAAATTTACGATTTATCATATTATATTTTTAAATTTTATGTCAAAATTATGTCCATATGGTGCTGCAATCAGTCGCAATTGCAGCACCATATGGATTTGCAATCACACAAATGGATGTGTGCAAGTGACGTATGCAATTTACTTATTACGGCATGATAAATATGCAGACCGCATATCCACTTTTAAATCAAAGTCGGAATTTCTAACAAAATGTTATTTTCAAAACTTAAATAGAAATTAATAAATATGTTTATGTTGAACAATAAAAAATACATAAATATAGTATAGGTTTAAAAGCAAGTATGTAAGAGGCAAGTATGAAGAAAAAATGAAAAATTTAAATCCTTATTTTCAAATGATATTTAAAAAGGATTATCCAATATCAATTCAAGTAAAATCAAAATCAAAGAAAAGATTACATTAATTTTCAACCATTTTTTTTTACAACAGTACACGATTTTCAAGTAAATCCAATCGTTTCGATTTTAACGATCTTCACTCTGATTTTAATTGTTTTATCTTGTAACAACACAAAATTGTAGCCCAAGCTTACTTCAATACATCGCCGCAAACGAATAGAAACGCAAAAAAATAAGCAAGCAGATAAGCATGCAGAAACGCACTGGAAAACGGACAAAAATCTGCTTGTTTTTTGTATTACGTCGACAGTTTCGTTTTATAATATGACGTACATATATGACTATAGTACATATATACTATAGTATGACTATCAAAGTGACTATTAGCATATCTTGAATATTATTATTTTTGGGGTAACTATATAATTTTCTCACCTGGTTGGGTTCTATAAATATATTGTTGCGCGGCTAAGTTGACATCTCATCTCATGGCATGCTAGCTCTAGCGCCATCTAGTGTCGGGTAACAGAGCGAGGAGAAAGCTTTGCAGAAAATGACATCACAAATCTTTACCGACAGCGCCATCCGAAGAACTAAGTTTCTAGAAAATCTATACTCGAACAGTCGTCATTGCTAATTTGTATATATAGGCGCTGCAAGATGCGATCGGGGAAGTATTGAAGTTGGCGAGACACGCAAAGCTTCGGAGCGGAATAAAGTGAATCAGTGTGATTAATTATTAGTGTTTTTTTTTAACTTTAATTATTGTAAAGTGAATTAAAGTGTTAATTTAGTTAATTCTGTCGGCAATTTTTATTGTCACAAACCTCAAGCTCGTAACAATTGGTGTCAGAAGTGGGATAAAATCATGCCGATTTTACCTAAGGACGGTGTCCGTACCCGAAGTCAACGCCAACAGGAGACGGACCAGAGGAGATTTGGTGGTGCAACGCCGCAGATGTCTGAGGGCCAGCCGCAGGCCACGGAAGCCGGCCCGTCAGCAGCTTCTACGTCTGTGGCACCTGACTTAGGTGCTCTGATGGCGATGCTACAGGAGCAGCTGCAGCGCGGACGAGAGGAACAGGTCCGTCTGTTGAAAGAGCAGCAGGAGGAACAGGTCCGTCGTTTGGAAGAACGGCTGCGGGGCGGACAAGAGGAACAGGCCCGTCGGTTGGAAGAGCAAATGCTCCTCATGAAGGATCTTCACACTACCTTCGGGAAGGAGATAAAGGAGGTTAAGGATAGGGTTGCTCAGCATGACAACCGCCTGTCGGAAGCTGAAACCCAAATCGCGAAGGCTGAAACCCAAATCAAGGAAGCTAAAATAACGTGGTGGCTGATGTGAAGAAAACGCTGGACGATCTCAAACTGGGGGATGGAACTACACATCCCGTAGTAGCTACAACACCTGCAGTACGTGGATTCAAAGTGCCGCCGTTTGACGGGACTTCTTCCTGGGTGGCCTACAAAATCCAGTTCGAGGCTGTTATAAAGGCAAACGGATGGAATAAAAGTCAGGCCATGACTGCACTCACACTAGGCCTGCGCGACCGGGCCTTAACTGTTCTAGAAGCTGGCGATAAAGAAGTGACTTACGAGCAGCTCCTTGAGGCATTGGAGGCTAGATATGGCGACTCTCACCTGGAACACGTCTTTCGAGCGCAGCTTAGAGATCGCGTGCAACGCAGCAACGAAAACCTGCAGCAGTGGGCTCTAGAAGTGGAGAAGCTGGTGCGAAAAGCATACCGGTCTGTACCTGCGCTCATTGAAGGAAACCTGGTGCAGACATTCATCGACGGCATCCGCGACCTGGAAGTCAGAGCTGCTGTGAGGCTCGGGCACCACGAGACGCTTAAGGACGCCTTGGCTCGTGCACTGAAGGTAGAAGCCGTGCGGCAGGGTCATCGCTCCCATCGCGTCAGGGAGGTTGCAGCAGCTACAGTTCGCGACCGCAAAAAAGGATACAGCCCTAGGTGCTATGGCTGTGGGAAAAAAGGCCATCTTCGATCCAGCTGCCCTAAGAGAACCGTGGAAAGGAGAGTTGATCGATCTCGAGAGGGTAGTGCAGCTAACGGCACTGCCTGGCGGCGACAGGATCATCGTCCTCGTCCCCAGCTACATTCTAATAGAATTACTAAATTCACAAGTGATGTTTAGCAATTCCATAAGATGGGAGCGACTGGAGGCGAATAATTTGAGGTCATCCATATAGAAAAGGTGATTCACTACCAGCCTCATCGATACCGATGTTCTGTGACATACCCAGGTATCGGTATGTTTCAGCCTCGGAAAGGGTCCTTAAGTTGACGGGCATAGACAAGTCTTATGCCCTCAGAGTTAGCAACCCTTCCCCCTTCAACATGGAGGACCGCACACTTATCCGTCCCCAGCTCCATTCCAATGGAACTTCTAAATTCAGAAGTGACTTTTATCAGTTCCATAAGATGGGAGCGACTGGAGGCGAATAACTTGAGGTCATCCATATAGAAAAGGTGATTCACTTTTGTCCCTCCTTTCCGTAGCTGAAATCCCCTCCCGGAGCCTTCCAGTAACGTACTGAGAGAGTTAAGAGAGAGGCAGAACCAGATTGGACTCAGACAATCGCCCTGGAAGATACCCCTTCTTATCCTTATGTGGTTCTCCGCAGCCGTCATCCGCTCGCCCAGATGACAAAGGATCGTACTCCACTGCCCCATATACTGCTCGAGAAAGTCTATAACTGTACAGTCAATTTCGTACAGCTCGAGGACCCTCTTTAGCCATGTATGGGGTACCGAGTCGAACGCCTTTCTGTAGTCTATCCAGGCGGCAGAGAAGTTCCGACGGTTGCGTTTCACCATTTTGCCTATGACCGCGTCAATGAGGAGTGGTTCCTTAGTTCCACGACCACCGCCCCGACATCCATTTTAAGCGCGTGACATCACCTGGTTTAGCTCCAGGTGACGAGTGATTCTCGTGCTCAAATGGATGTCAGTGTCTTATATATGGTGGGTAGACACGTGATGGGGCGGTATTTGCTCGGATCTGTGGTATCCTGATCTTTAGGAACCAAGTGAGTGATCCCAGTAGTGAAGAGGCTCGGGAGTGACTTCTGGTCGAGAGCCTCTTGAAACTGTCGGGCGAGCACAGCGTGACACACTATGAACCCCTTCAGACAGTAATGATGCAGCCCGTCGAGCCCCGGACTTTTCCAGTTCGGGGCTCTACGGACCGCCGCAGCCACGTCTTGTGGCGTTATGGTGATGGGGTCCATAGGCGTAACACTCGCACCCTGGCTCGCCACAACTTCCATCCAAGGGCCCTCGCTGTGGTTTACGGGCTCTGACCACAGGCCACGCCAGAATGCGATAATGTCAGCCTGATCCGGTCCTTGGCCCGCTCCACATACCTTTGATTGCTCCAATGATTTATAGAGCCTCTTCTGATCACTCTGAAAGAGACGATTCTGGTTGAACCGCCTTGACCTCTCGGAAAATCGTCGAATCCGCTTCTCCCAAGCAGCGATCTTTTGCTTCAGGTCGTCTATGCGCTCCGTTAGTTTCTGCGTGATATCCGGCTGGGATAAACTGATATTTGTCCCAGCAAACACCATCCTAACGGTGCGCATAATCCTCGGTCTATTATTACCCGACCTGAAGCTTGTTAGTTTGCCGATAAGGGCCCTTGCCTTTGCGATACGGTCCTCGATTCTTTTTCTCCAGGCTGGGATGGCGCTACTTTGTGTAGTAGCGCGTCCGCGCGTCCAGCCTTGGGAAGTTTGGCGCCAATAATACGGCAAACTACCACTGCGGCGCCAAAGAGAATCGAGTCCGTCTCGCAAAGGTCCCGGCTGGCTTCCAAATAGATCACTAGCATTGGGTTAAGAGCCCTCACGACAGCCCGATTTCGCTTGCTTAGGGGTATGCGGGGAAGCCGCAGTCGATTTTCGAGAGGGGTGCTGCGCGCTTCCAAAATCGCCTCTTCTAATATACTCCTCATTTGCTCTAGTTCGTGGGAGACTATTTCATCGTCGTTCGAATCAACCACAACTGGAAGATCCATGGCGGCTTCCACGTGTGGATGCTGGTATGTCGAATGTGGAGCTGCATCTCCAGCCATAGCCGATTCATTCGACGATGGAATAGCCTCACGTCGTAGTCGTTCGAGTTTGTTATCATCAAATATTTTCGAGCGCATGATGTACCGAACTCGGTCTGCCAGGTTTTGTACCGTGACGGGGATAGACGGCTCCAGCTCAGCAAAAAAGCAATGCATCCGAGACCTATACGCTATTCCCACAGTTTCTTCCCCTTTCGCCCTATAGTACGCCCGCAATGCGTTTTCGTTCATGGATTTTGTCCAACGCATGCAACGTGCTCCATCAGCGGCGGGTGCCGCTTGCTGGGTCCGAGAAGACCCAGCCGACACCAATTATTATTATTATTATTATTATTTGAGGCTTTAAATTTTAACGAGAATATTCTTCCCCTTTAAAATATTTTTAAAGATAATAAATGTATATAATAATAATATAATTATTATTATATAAATATATAATTTATTATTATATATTTATAGAACCCAACCAGATGAGAAAATTATATAGATACCCCAAAAATAATAATATATTGTTACGCGCCTAAGTCGACGGCACTAGCGCCCTCTATTGTCAGAGACGAGAGCGAGGGGATCTTTCCAGAAAATAACATCACTAATCATTCAACCGACAGCGCCATCTAGTATCGAATTGAAGAACTAAGCTTTCTGGAAGCCCCAAACTCGAACTTTCTGCGCTTGGTCGGTTAGCGCGCGTATTTACCCGAATATTCTGGAATATTCTGGATGTTTTCGTGGAAGAGCCCTATATAAAGGCGCTGCAATACGCGATCGGGGAAGTATTGAATTTGGCGAGACAAGCGAAGCTTCGGAGTGGAATAAAGTGAATCAGTGTGATTAAATTGTTAGTGTTTTAAGTTTTAATTGGTGTAAACAAAATTAAAGTGTTAATTTAGGTAATTCTATCGGCAATTTTTATTGTCACGAACCTCAAGCTCGTAACAATTGGTGTCAGAAGTGGGATAAAATCATGCCGATTTTACCTAAGGAGGAAACGGAGGGTGTCCGTTTACTGGTTACTACGCCTACGCGGATTCCAGATGTGGAGGATCATGCACCTTCCCTGTTGGACCTTCTGCTGACCTCTCACCCGGACGGATATCAGATTTCCGTTGACGCCCCTTTAGGCTCCTCGGACCATTGTCTTGTCCGGAGTGTGGTGCCACTCACGCTGAAACCGCGGTTGCATTCTGCAGGCTGCCGCCGTGTTTGGCACTATAGGTCAGCCGATTGGGATGGGATGCGGTCTTTCTTTGCATCCTACCCTTGGGGGCGGGTTTGCTTCTCGCCGGATGATCCCAACGTTGTTGCGGATTCTGTCGCTGATGTGGTACTTCAGGGTATGGAACTTTTTATTCCTTCCTCTGTGGTGCCCATTGGAGGCAAATCTCAGCCATGGTTTGGTCGCTCCTGTAAAATAGCATCATGCTATAAGCAGGAGTGCTACCGAGCCTGGGCTGACGCATCAGCGTCCAGGGATGTAAACACCAGCGCTCTAAAAAAGAAGTATAATTCCGCCTCTAGGTCCTTCAAAAGAGTCATTGCCAAGGCAAAGTCAGAGCACATAGGCAGAATTGGCGAGAGACTAGTTCGTCTTCCTTCTGGAACCCGTGCATTCTGGTCTCTCGCCAAGGCTGTCCAAGGGAATTTCTGTCAGCCATCTCTTCCATCTCTGCACAGGGAGGACGACTCACTGGCCCACACCGCAAAGGAGAAAGCCGATCTTCTAGGCTCTTTCTTTGCGTCTAACTCGACTCTCGATGACGGGGGGAGTACGCCGCCGACCATCCCGCGGTGTGAGTGCTCCATGCCGGAAGTGCAGTTCACTCAGCGCTCGGTTCGCAAAGCACTCCTCTCCCTGGATATCCATAAGTCGAGTGGACCTGATGGAATCCCCCCAATTGTGCTGAGGACGTGTGCTCCAGAGTTGGCACCGGTTTTAACGCGTCTTTTCCGGTACTCCTACTCCCTAGGCGTAGTCCCAAAATCATGGAAGACGGCTTTCGTCCACCCGATCCCTAAAAAAGGCGACCGCTCAGACCCGTCCAACTACCGGCCTATCGCCATCACCTCCTTGTTCTCCAAAACAATGGAGTCCATTGTAAACTGCCAGCTCATGAGGTACCTTGAAGATCACCAGCTGATTAGTGACCGCCAATACGGTTTTCGCCGTGGTAGGTCAGCTGGTGATCTTCTGGTCTACCTAACTCACAGATGGGCGGAGGCAGTAGAGTCCAAGGGGGAGGCATTGGCCGGTAGGTTGGACATTGCGAAGGCCTTCGATCGGGTTTGGCACAAAGCGCTTCTTTCGAAGCTCCCTTCCTATGGGCTTCCCGAGAAATTTTGCGATTGGATCACCAGTTTTCTTGCAGATCGGAGCATCAAGGTCGTTGTAGACGGTGCAAGCTCCGATTGCAAGCTTATTAATGCTGGTGTTCCACAGGGCTGCGTGCTATCGCCAACGCTGTTTCTTCTGCATATCAATGATATGTTGCAAACCCGTAGCATTCATTGCTATGCAGATGACAGCACTGGTGATGCTCTTTACACCGGCCGAACCAATATTTCTCGGGAAAACGTCTCTGAGTGCCGGGACAAACTTGTGTCTGAAGTCGAGTCTCTGCTGGACAGAGTCTCGGATTGGGGGCGACTAAATCTAGTCCAGTTTAACCCCCAGAAGACACAAGTTTGCGCGTTAACCGCTAAAAAGAACCCCTTTGTCGTATCCCCTCAGTTTCAAGGCACTCCCCTTGTTGCCTCAGCCAGTATCGGAATCCTCGGCGTCGACATATCGAGTGACGTGCAGTTTCGTGGTCACTTGGAAGGGAAGGCCAAATTGGCCTCTAAAAAGCTTGGCGTGCTCAGCAGAGCGGGACAGTATTTCATGCCGGCACACCGCCTGCAACTTTACAAGGCGCAGGTTCGGCCGCTCATGGAATACTGTTCCCATCTCTGGGCTGGGGCTCCCCAGTACCAGCTCCTTCCACTTGACCGCATCCAGCGCAGAGCGGCTCGAATCGTTGACGACCGAGTGCTTTCCGATCGGCTCGATTCACTGGCGCTGCGAAGAGATGTTGCATCTCTTTGCGTATTTTATCGCATCTATCACGGGGAGTGCTCTGAGGAATTGTTCGGATTAATCCCAGCCGCCAAATTTCGTGAACGCACTACACGGCAAACGTCCCGATACCATCCACACCATCTGGATGCTTGGCGGTCCACCACTGTACGTTTCAAAAGGAGTTTTCTTCCGCGTACAACCTCTCTGTGGAATAATTTACCACCGGTGATTTTTCCGGACCGATACGACCTGGGGACCTTCAAGAAAAGAGCTTACTCCTTTCTAAAGGGCCGGCAACGCACCTGCAATTCCCCTGGTGTTGCGGTTGATCATGGGCGGCGGTAGTCACTTAACATCAGGTGAGCCACATGCTCGTTTGCCCCCTCTTCTATAAAAAAAAAAAAAAAAAAAAAGCTATTGGGCCCAGTGGGACAGCTTGCTGATTCAGGGTGGAGTCCTGTGCCGTAAATGGGACAATGGTCGAGGAGACAGCTGTCGTTTGCAAATGGTTGTCCCTAAGGCTAAAGTGCCGAATGTTCTACAGCTGTGCCATAATGATCGTTCAAGAGTCTATCTGGGAGTTAAACGAACTCTACTGAAGGTCCGAGAATAGTTTTACTGGGTCCATTATCGTGACGATGTCGAGGATTGGTGTGAGGATTGGTGAAGGGACCTCAGACACGTAGTAGAGGAGCGTCGAAATTGTACAATGTTGGTGCACCATGGGATAGGACAGCCCTTGACATTGCGGAGCCGTTACAGAAAGGCGCAAGAGGGACTCCTAAGATCGTCCATGTGGATCGCCTGGCGCGTTATTATGGGGCCGATAATGCTCGGGACGAGCATTTCTTAGGAGGGGGCAGTGTTACGCGCCTAAGTCGAAGGCACTAGCGCCCTCTATTGTCAGAGACGAGAGCGAGGGGAGCTTTCCAGAAAATGACATCACTAATCTTTCAACCGACAGCGCCATCTAGTATCGAATTGAAGAACTAAGCTTTCTGGAAGCCCCAAACTCGAACTTTCTGCACTTGGTCGGTTGGCGCGCGTATTTACTCGAATATTCTGGATGTTTTCGTGGAAGAGCCCTATATAAAAGCGCTGCAATACGCGATCGGGGAAGTATTGAATTTGGCGAGACAAGCGAAGCTTCGGAGCGGAATAAAGTGAATCAGTGTGATTAAATTGTTAGTGTTTTAAGTTTTAATTGGTGTAAATAAAATTAAAGTGCTAATTTAAGTAATTCTATCGGCAATTTTTATTTTCACGAACCTAAAGCTCGTAACAATATTTTTATTTACTCTCACAATTAAACAAAAATATCTTATAATTACCTGTAATATAAAATCATTAAAGTATCTTACGAATAAGTATAACAAAATTAATAACAATCGTTGTCCCATATCATCCCGTGAGTGTCGTAAGAGACGAGGGAAATTGGAACAGGGGATGAGCGGCAGCACCTTTTTGGTACCAACTCAATAATAATAAAATGCGATTGTTAGCCCGACAAACTTGGCCACCATGGCAAACATGGCTTCTGTATGACAATTCAAACAGGTGGCTTTTACAGTGGTGAATTTTTGATGAACTCTACGGAATAAATTATATAAAAGTTGGCAGAAGCTATGACACGTGTTAAGTTCTATAACTACTTATCATATCAGATAAAAAGCGTAGATTTTCAGACATTACAAATAATCAACTGCCTTTTAAAATCCTATTAATTTCCTAAATTAAAAGAAAGTAAGTACTATTTTCCTTCTCCTGAGAATTTCTTTACTTAACAGCTTCTTTAACAATAAGAGTGGCGGCAATAGTCACTTACTATCAAATGAGCCGCATGCTCGTTTGCCCCCTCTTCTATAAAAAAAGGAAAAACCATCTGTTTCCTTTTTTTTCAACTAAGTTGAAGGTGTCCATGGTCTGCAATAGTCACTTATCGTTGTGTGAATTGTAAGTTCTTTTGTCTTTTGACCTCCTTTTTTTCTTCTCTTAAAAACGTTACCCCTACACAAGGATTTTATCCTGTATCGTGATGGCCGTTTACATACATAAATTTCACAAAGATAAGCAACCAGATCCGAAACAATTATTTGTAGGACCTACAAATACTTGACCTGTGGGCGATTTGAAGCCAAGCATTCAGTATTGCAACTCATTTCTAAGTCACTGCGCCACGTTGTCACTTCAT